TATATAATAAAAGGCTCAGACACTAATAATCTATCGTTATAATTTATTATATTGGAATCGTAATCACGATCCAATTCATCAGATCTACAAATTAAAAAAGAAAACAGAAAAAAAAAAACAGAAAGAAATAACGTATTTTTTCTGTTTTCTATTTTAATTTATAGATTTGATGAATTGGATCGTGATTACGATTCAAATGTAATAAATTATAACCATGGAATATTAGTGTTTAAGCCTTTTATATTATATTCTTGCTCTGTCTTGTTCATAGAGCTCTACTTGGATTTTATCCTCTTATATATATATATATATATATATATTATATATATATATATATATATAATATATATATATAATATATATAATATATCCTCTTACATATATATATATATATATATATTATAATATATATTATATATATATATATATATTTATATATAATTTAGTGCTGACTGGTTCACCGTGTTGGCCCGGTCACACTCTGTATTTCACCTGAAGGTTCTGGAGGCACTTTACATCGGGTCCCGCAAGCCTTCTTTGTGCAAACAACGTGAGTGTTTGTTGGGACTCGCTGTCATCTGCCTCTAGTTCCTTCTTGCATATACAAACATATATATATGTGTAATTTTTTTTTTTTCCACCTATTCTCATTGTACATTTCTCTGTTTTAATATTGAATCTCCCGTGGAAGCCTGACGAGCGGGAGCGAAACCGGTTGCTTCCCCCCCTTGTTGTTGTTTTTTTTATTATTATTTAATATTGTTTTAATATGTCTTGTAATATTAAATTTTATACTTTTATTTTTAAATTTTGTCTACAAAAATATCTTTAAATATATATATATATATACACACATTGACCACTAATATTCTGTATCTATCTAAATATATATATCCCTATATATCTAATATATATATATATATATATATATATATATATATATATATATATATATATATATATATATATATATATATATATATATTATAATAAAGAGAACGATCAGTGAGATATATAATGTGGTGTTCTTACTAATTATTTTTATTTTAAAAAAACAGTACTTAATGCAAATCTACAGAGCATAAATATTATAAATTTACTAATTCAAAATATGTTTTCATCACGACACAGGATAGTAATTCCTATGTAGCGATGGGACCATATTTTTTAAATAAATTTATAATATATACATATATATATATATATATATATATATATATATATATATATATATATATATATATATATTATATTGTAGCAATTTTCAATTTTTATTTTTAAATCGCTATTTGTACTTGATGTATAAAAATTTATATTTCAATATTCCATTTGAATTATATATATATATATATATATATATATATATATATATATATATATATATATATATCTCAATATTCCATTTGAATTATATATATATATATATATTGTGTAGCGATTTTCCATTTTTATTTTTAAATCGCTACACAATATATATATATATATATATATATATATATATATATATATATATATAAAAAATGGAATATTGATATATATTTTTTATATACATCAAGTACAATTTTAGGAGAAAGAAGTATGACAAAATGGAAAAAAAATGTGTGACGTTTTTTCGTCTTTTTAGGACTCCATCGAACTAAAAGCTTTCGTCTACATTGATGAGACTACACTGCAGGAGCGAGAGACGCTGACAATTTTGAATTTAAATATATATATATATATATATATATATATATATATATATATATTTTATTATTATGTGTTTGTGTTGTAATCTTGCCTATTTCATTTGGATTGATTTTCTTTTTGTCTCTGCTTTTATCATCTTTGTTATTAAATTATCGCACATTGTGATAACAGAAGTTCTGCCAACAATGTTGAAATACTGTAGAAACCTGGCCGCAAAACAAAGGTACAAATTCATGAGCAGGGCATTTGATTATCGTTCAGTGCTTCTCACCTGTGTTCTTATGCCAGACTTTGCTATGCTTATAAATAATAACAGAAGCAATAATAATAATAATAATAATTAACAATCAAAGCCAACCGCTCAGATATTGTTATTAAAGACCACAAACAGAAACGGTGCCTCCTTATTGATATGGCAGTCCCTGCTGACTGCAATGTATCTTTGAAGATATTCATAAAGCTGTCAAAATACAAGGACCTTGAAATAGAAATCTCGAAAATGTGGCATATGGTGACATCAACAATCCCTGTTGTAGTTGGAGCCCTAGGACTGGTTGGAAAAGATTGCAGTAGACTAATTGAAGGGATTCCTGGAAGTCCATGCCTCAAGGAGATACACAAAATTGTTCTGACAAGTACAGCCCACACTTTACGAAGGGCTTTATCTATGTAATTTTTTTTTTTTTTGTCAGTGGAAAGTGTCATGATGTCATTTCTAACCTTAGGTCCCTGGGCGGGACCCGGAAAGAAATGTGTAAACGCCAGAAAACAAAGAAAATAATAATAATAATAATGGTCGGGTCATACTCACCTTGAAATTGTTTTCGTAGCTTGCGATAACAACAGGCGATGTAGCTAAAATTCCCAGGAGATCCGTAACCACAAGGCTGGCTGCCAGTTTGTAAAAGATCGTTTGCTTTTGCTCTTTCTTTGATTTTGCAAGCGCCACCAATGCAAGGATGTTGCCAAAGACGCCACAACTGAACATGATAACAGAGACCATGACCGTGTGGTTTTTTACGTCCTGAGACGCATTAGGGAGGCTGGTCACATTAGCGATATGTTGATATGTCTGACGAGTAATGACACTGTCTTCTTTCACGTTCATCTTGTGAAAAGTCATCCTTATTGCGATTAGTTAGGCGGCCACTGAATTGGGGTCATCTTCTGTTCTATCCGCCTGTGAGTTGTCCGTCCTGTTTTTTTTATTTTGCTCATCCCGAATGAGATGAACGTAAAGAATATGCCCGGTTTGTTTTGGCTTCTTCACAGTCAGTGAACAAGAAGCACTGAATCATACAAAACACTTTGGCCAGCGTCCACTCCATTGTAATAGGCCGCCATTAGGGAACTGAAAATTGTAACAAAAAAGAAAAGAAAATTAATCAATATTCATTGTTTATTCTCGATATTTCCCTTGAGTTATGCGTCAACATATCTCAGGGTAGGGAACAGAAAATATTTTTACAAGGACAACGACCACCAATTGCAAACAAACTGCTTATCAATCAAATTGTTATCACTTAATAAATCAATATGTACATATTTGCTTGTAACTTAAGTGAAATGATATGATAATATTTGGAACAATTCTTGACTACAAGAATTCATTGATATAATCCATACATTTTACAGTCACTTTCCAGAACACCCGACCGATTTTAGCAGGGATTTTAATTATCAACGTCTGAAATTAAATCCTCATTTCAATTTTAATTCCAATATCGTACAATTTAAAATTAAATTTTAGAAAGATCTCCGTAGTAACCAATATTTTTCTGTGATTAGATTTTTCGAAATCAGTTAACAAATTTTCTCCATTATAACTTATTAAATACAGGGGCTGCAAAAGTAGGTATATAGTAATTATTATACCAGTGTTAACAGTATTTTATTAGTGACTAATTCATTTAATACCACAGGATGTCCCTAAAGTCTGGACACATCGGAAAACTGTTTAACTACATTCTTTTACCTCCACAGTTTAAACATGGCTTTTTTTTCGAAAGAAAGAATTGACTTCTTTTTCTGTGGTATGCTAAAGGAGAAAGTGTACTCAATGAAAACCACAGATGCAACACATTTTTTTGAACTCATAAAGAGTGAATATGCTAAAATTGACTGCAATGTGGAGTTATTGCATCGAGTTAATGTGAATCTTGCAACGTGCATCAACCTTTGCATCACAAATGATGGAAATCATATTGAAGATGCTATTTGTTAATATTCCAATTCAATAAAGTGTTGTTGAAAATTTAATTTCTTGAAAATAACCATCTTTGCCTAGGGTGTCCAGACTTTACGGACACACTCTGTAGAATTCATTTAATTCCTTAAAACCATTTTTAATATTTGACTCCTCTTGCTATTCTCAATCTTTACAAGAGCCAGATCAGTCTGAGATGGTGAAAATGTCCAAACGTTCGACCATATTTCGAGTAGATATTTTTCCATTGGTTTAAAATATTGAATCATTTGTAATGGTCGACAAGACTCGATTTGTTGGCCATTATTCCATATCAACGGAATTGAAAAAGCATTGGAAATGATTTTTACTATGAAAATGCATTGGAAATGATTTTTGCTATGAAAATGCATTGGCCAATAAATTTTACTATAAAAATGCATTGGCCAATGATTTTTACTATGAAAATGCATTGAGAAATGATTTTTACTATGAAAATGCATTGGAAATGATTTTTATTATGAAAATGCATTGGCCATTAATAATTTTAAATATAAAATGCATTGGCCAATGATTTTTACTATGAAAATGCATTGAGAAATGATTTTACTATGAAAATGCATTGGAAATGATTTTTATTATGAAAATGCATTGAGAAATGATTTTTACTATGAAAATGCACTGGCCAATGATTTTTACTATGAAAATGCACTGGAAATGATTTTTACTATGAAAATGCATTGGCCAATGATTTTTACTATGAAAATGCATTGAGAAATGATTTTTACTATGAAAATGCACTGGCCAATGATTTTTACTATGAAAATGCATTGACCAATTATTTTTACTATGAAAATGCATTGGCCAATGATTTTTACTCTGAAAATGCATTGGCCAATGATTTTTACTATGGAAATTCATTGGCCAATGATTTTTACTATGAAAATGCATTGAGAAATGATTTTTACTATGAAAATGCATTGGCCAATGATTTTTACTATGAAAATGCATTGGCCAATGATTTTTACTATGAAAATGCATTGGCCAATGATTTTTACTGTGAAAATTCACTGGTTAATGATTTTTATTATGAAAATGTAATGGAGATGATTTTTTATTAACAAAATACATTTGTAATGATTTTTACTGTGAAAATGCATTAGAAATGATTTTATTATGAAAATGCATTGGCCAATGATTTTTACTACGAAAATTCATGATTTTTAACATGAAAATACGATGGCCAATAACTTTTACTATGAAAATGTAATCGAAATCATTTTTACTATGAAAATGCATTGGCCAATGATTTTTACTATGAAAATGCATTGGTCAATGATTTTTACTATGAAAATGCATTACTGAATGATTTTAATATGTAAATGCATTGGTCAATGATTTTTACTATGAAAATGCATTGGTCAATGATTTTTACTATGTAAATGCATTGGTCAATGATTTTACTATGAAAATGCATTGGTCAATGATTTTACTATGAAAATGCATTGGTCAATGATTTTACTATGAAAATGCATTGGAAATGATTTTTTATGAAAATCCATTGGCCATTACTTATTTTCGCCCTAAACTATACGGATATGCGATCATATGTCATCTGGTCACCGCATAATTAATGCTCGAAATATGACAATAATTGATTGAAAGATATTTCCCTCTTCAAGAAAATATATGTCATCAGCTCATCTGTAAATCTTCCCACTATTTTCATAATATTTTGGCTTTTCTAAAATGCCTCCACCATGACAATATATGACATCAGCTCATGCATAAATCTCTTCACAGACTTTATGATGTTTTCCCTCTGACTGAGTGACAATATATACTGGTATATTTATACATTTTAAACACGTTCCGACCCAGTTACGATTGATTATTTGTGATGTATTTCACCTCCTAAAATTGACGTACCTACCGAGTTTATAAAATATCTAATTTCTTTTTTGAATTCAAAAAAGGCCAGTCTCCTACAGAGGCAATTCAAAATATCCATGGAATTTGTGGAAAAGATTCTTCAAAGAAAAGGAATTGTCAAAAATGGCTTAAAGTTTTGAGAAAAAGTAGGTAGCAGATAAAGGGTGTTTCATTAAGACGGATCAAAGTCTGCAGTAAATAAATCAGTGTTAGTTGTGAAAATTTTATTTATTTCTCTATTGGATCATGTTATTTAAGTCATGGCAATTATGTGTGAAAAATAATATCGCCCAAATGTCTGCCAAATCTGAAAGAAAAAGAGAAAAATCAGTAGACGCTTAAACTTAATTCATATTAAAAATCGGTCCAAGTTATTGCAGCACCCTTTATAATCAATTTGTTATCAAGCTTTTAGCGGTATTGACCAGTTTGTTGAAGAGATATTTTCTTATGTTAGCGGGAGATATATGAGAGATATATAATAAAAATATCGAGAATGTTGCTAAGGTAATAGAGATAAAGTCCGTAGAGTGAATCCGCTTAGCACAGTTTGACGTTGACTTATAACGTTTTCTCCAACTTCTGTTGCTTATAGTAGTATTTGAAAGGAAAGTGTGTAGAGTGTGGTCGACTCACCACACCATAAAGATCCCATCAATGACCATGGCTTGTGCAGCAGTTTTTGGCAAAGTACAACATTCCCCAGGTCTAGCAATCACTATATCCACCAAATGTCTCCTGTTGTGACTTTTTTCCCTTCAAAAATTAATCCCACTTGAAAAGAACAAGATTTCAAGATGTCGAAGCAATCCAAGAGAATGCGACGAGGCAGCTGCTCGCTTTTCCTAAAAATAGAATTCTAGGAATGCTTCCATCAATGGAAACGACGTTGGATAATACGCGTGGTTTCAGAGGAGGACTACTTCGAAGGAGATTAAATGCCGCATTGATATGTGTTGTAGTTTTCGTTTTATAACACCAGTCCCGATACTTTTTGGTTAGATCTCGTATATTTATGTGATAGGTTCTTGAGATATTATTGTGGTCATGCGAGTTTTTTTTCGAAACAGTAGATTGTTTAGTAATAATATTATGTTGTATGTGACACGTGGTTCGTTGGAGACTAATATGTCACTCAGAGAGGAAATAAGACACGACTTGTCCAGTAGTTAAAGAACAAAAGAAGGGCGAAAAAGATGGTTTGTGCCCTTTCTTTTTCAACGCCATCTAGCGGACGTTAGGAGAATTTCCCTGGCAGTCTTTTTGTGATGTGTTTTCTCCTTTAGTATTTGATTGAGAAAGTGCTTTAATTATTCGGTCAGCCATAGTAAATTTGCATCCAGGTTGGCAGATTTTCTTTTATGACAATGTGAGATACTTAAAAATAAAACAGATGGAAATCTAAACTAAAAGAATCTAAATGAAATTGGTAAGACTATAGAACCAAAACACATAATAAAAAATTATTATCTATTATGACATGTCTCTAATTTGTATTTAGATACATTGCATTTATTTTCAATTTTTCTAGATGAATTGTTCACCTATATTGCATATGGTCCATTATTGTACATAATTAGGTTTTGTTTGTTTTGGTTTTACGGCATATCAACCTCAATAGGTTATTTAATGCCGACAAAATTTTTATTGTTGGTAATATTTTTTTTCAAAAGTCTATTTCTGATAATATTTTTTCCTTCAAAAATTTATTTCTGGTAAAATTTTCTTTCAAAATTCTATTTCTGGTAATAATTTTTCTTTCAAAAATTTATTTCTGGTAATAATTTTTCTTTCAAAATTCTATTTCTGGTAATAATTTTTTCTTTCAAAAATTCTATTTCTGGTAATAATTTTTCTTTCAAAAATTCTATTTCTGGTAATAATTTTTCTTTCAAAAATTCTATTTCTGGTAATAATTTTTCTTTCAAAAATTCTATTTCTGGTAATAATTTTTCTTTCAAAAATTCTATTTCTGGTAATAATTTTTCTTTCAAAATTCTATTTCT